GTTGCAGTCTCAGGGGCGGCTCTCCCCTGTCTTACGCCTTCTTAGTCCAAATTGACTCAATGGCAGGGAGTGAGTGGAGCTTTATTTCCTAGGTTCTGTGCTTAGACATTTGCATACTTTTCTCCTTTTATTCTCTTTGTGTGTCTGAGCCTTAAGAACTATTCACTTCATTTTTTTTTCTTTTTTTTTCTTTCTTTTTTAAAAATCGTTTTATTAGGGGCTCATACAACTCTTATCACAATCCATACATGCATTAATTATGTAAAGCACGTTTGTGCATTCATTGCCCTCATCATTCTCAAAACATTTGCTCTCCACTTAAGCCCCTGGCATCAGATCCTCATTTTTCCCCTCCCTTCCTGCTCTCCCTCCTCCCTCATGAGCCCTTGATAATTTATAAATTATTCTTTTGTCATATCTTGCCCTGTTCGACATCTCCCTTCACCCACTTTTCTGTTGTCCATCCCCCAGGGAGGAGGTCACATGTAGATTCTTGAAGAAACCGATGATCAGAACCATGGGGTTAGAAAAAGAAGACATACTTTAACAACATGACCCCAATATTGAAACCGACAGTTGTTGGCTCTGAGAAGCTAGCCCCTGACCCATGGAAGCCCCTATCATAGCAGAATGGATCACTTCCCGTTCCTGTACACATCCCCATAGTTAGTTAAGGATTACATCAGTGTGATCCATAGGTTTTCCATTGGCTGATTTTCAGAAGTAGATTTCCACGCCTTTCTTCATAGTCTGTCTTAAACTGGAAGTTCTATGAAACCTGTTCAGCATCCTAGCAACAAGACAGCTTTACTAACGGAAAAGATACTATCTTTTTAAATGACACCCTTTGTTCCTTCCAATGAAGTAGAGGGATGTTGAAAGGGATCATTGCCTTTCTGTCCTGTCCTTCAGATGCCAAAAACCTACACAGAATCCCATGTTTTCTCGTTGTATCTTGTTGTATTTATTCAGAGTGAAAATTGACAAAATGCTCTGCTTTGTATTTTTGTTTTTTGTTCACTTTTGCCATAGATGACCGTCTGTCTCTGTCATTGACGACGTGACTAAAGAGCTTTTGTCAGACCACACAATGCTAAGCATTCATTGAAAATCAACAGTCCTGTTGCACAGGAAATTGTATTGTGAAAAGTGTATCCAAATTCGCCTCCCTTAATGTTCAAGAAGTTTCTTATTTCAGGGTATGATTTGTATCTATCTATCTATCTATCTATCTATCTATCTATCTATCTATAGAGAGAGCACTTTGAGTTATATATATCTTGTTTTAGATTTAAAATATTATAGGCATATGTGACCACAGCTGATTATTCAGTTTCGCTATAAAAAGAAAAAAAATATGAATGTTCATGATTATAACATTGTGCAACCTTGTGTCAATGAGATTTCCAAACCCAAGCTAAGTGTGGGAGAAAGACACGTTCCTAGTGTTTAATGTGGCCAGCTAAATAGAGATGCTTTGACTCGTCAGGAAGCTAAAATACATGCTGCTACTATTATTACTGAGGGTCCAGGAAGATGGGGGCCTGCTCCTAACCGGAATCCAAAATGTAGTCACTGTGTTCTTGTAATGACCCGTGATTTCATTCTGAAGAAAGTGAACCTAACCATCAAGCATCCAGATAGTGGTTGCCCTGGAATCACCCGATACCTCCAGGGACACTTTAGTTTCTGAAAAAGGAGGATGGAGCACTTAAGCATTATTACACTGTAGAAACTCAAAGGACGCATGCTTTCCGGGCCCTGTGACCTAGCATGTGCTTGTATAAAGAGCTCATATTAAGAAATTTTCTCACATCTTGGGGTTAGTGAAAAAAAAAAAGTGAGTGTTGGGAAGTTAGAGTGTGAATGAGGCCGGTGAATTTTACACTGTGTCATTTATGAGAGCATATTCCACAAGAATCTCTAGGATATTAGTTATGTTCTGCCTTGGCAACTGAAGTAGGCTACCCTGAATGTAACAAACATAAATACATTAGCCATACTGGGAGATAATATTAAAAGCAGCGGTTAAGACAGCAAATGACAGATTACATTGGAGACATTTGCTGCTGAAGATCTCTTAAAAGTGTTAAAAGAGCAAGAATGGCACTTTGGAAAGTAAGGTGTGTCTGACCCAAGCAATGGCACTTTCAATTGCCTCCCGTGCATGTTGCAGTTGGATGTTGAAGGTAGACTAAAGGATAACTTATGCCTTTTATCCACGGTTCTGGGGAGGAATATTGGAAGTACCATGGACTCTCCACAGAACAGACAACTTGGAAGAAGTTTACCCAGAGAGATCCTTAGAAGTGAGGATTATTGTGAGACCTCCTCTGTAGAGGTGCTGTCCGAAGAAACCTGTCCCTGGAAAAGGACATGCAGCTTGGTAAAGTAGACGAACAGTGGATAAGAGGAGGAACTTGACAGACAGCGGCTGTCACCGGGGGCTCATAACAGCAATTGTGAGGATGGCCTAAGACGGGGAAGTGTTTTTCTCTGTTGTACATAGGGTTACTATGAGTCAAAACAGACTAGTTAGCCCTTAACAGCAATAACGCCTGTGATCCCTTTCAGAGCACTTGGTAAGACTAGCTGGGCAACATCTAATTCATGTGGTCTCAGAGTCGTGCATGTGCTTGTGGTCCATTAAGCCTTTATATTTATTGTTTCCATCTGTCTCTGATTTTTTTTCTTTTAAAATTTATTATTAATTGGGGTTATTGCATATATCATTCCATAGTTCAAAAATGTCAAGCAGTATTGAACAATTGCTAACACAGTTTCTAAACATTCTCTTTCTTCCTGGACTCCTGATATTGTCTCCCTTTTAGCTCCACCCCCTCATCACACACACACACACACACACACACACACACACACACACACACACACACCTGTCCTCCGAAACCCTTATTCTGCATGCTGTCCCGACAAGCTCATCAATCCTGGGGTTATTTATTCTTCTTTGTTTCAGAAAGAGACCAATAGTTGCACCTCAGGTGACTACTCAAGAGATTCTAAGACCCCGGTTCCTGCTCACCTAAGTAGAATATAGAGTTATATACACATACATCTTTGAGTTCTTTGTCAGGCAGTTCTATTGCTATTTCTTTATCTGAAAGGTTTTCTGAATCTCTAACTTGGCTCTTTGTTGGGGTACTGTACCTTGTTGCTTTGTGTGAACTGAGATTATCTGCTGTCTCCAAAACATTTATTGTTGACGTATTGGTGTTTAATTAATGATCCCATGTTGGTGTGTTTGTAGACACTCATCACTTGTCTCCAGGCAGATGCTACCTGGAATAAAACAAGTGGGGATACTGTTAGTTTTTAATTAATATGACTAGTGAAGGCTTCACTTGGAAGATGATATTTGAATAGAAACCTAAAAATGGTTAACAATAACAGTCATATCCATTCAAACATAACCAAGACAATTGATGATTGGCTAATGACACCAGACAAACAGCTAATGATTGGCTAGTGAGACCAGCCAAACAGCTAAAGATAATTTGCAAACCTGGTTCAGTTTACAATGTGAATCACAGAATGCTGAAGGAGTGTGTGTATTATGAATCACCAAGGGAAAAACACTGTGATGAAAGAACCAATGAAACAGACAACTTTCCTCTAGGTCTTTAATGCTTCCCCACCCCTCCGCCCCCGCCCCCGCTGTCATGACCCCAATTCTACCTTACAAATCCGGCTAGACCAGAGCATATACACTGGTATGGATAAGAACTCGAAACACAGGGAATTCGGGACAGATAAAGACCTCAGGACTAATATTGAGAGTAGCCATACCAGGAGGATAAGGGGAAGATGTGGGGAGAAAAGGGGAACCGATCTCAGTGATCTACATAGAACCCCCTTGCTGGGGGATGAACAACAGAAAAGTGGGTAAAGGGAGACAGCAGTCAGTGTAAGACATGAAAAAAAAAAAGTTTATAAATTATCAGGGGTTCGTGAGGGATGGAGGGTGGGGGAGGGAGGTGAAAAGTGAGATGATGATACCAAGGGCTCAAGTAAAAGGAAAATGTTTTGAGAATGATGATGGCAACAAATGTACAAATGTGTTTTGACACATGACACAATGGATGACTGTATGGATTGTGGTAAGAGTTGTATGAGCCCCCAATACAATGATTAATAATAATAATTAAAAAAAGAAAAAAACAATGATGTAGTATGAACTTGCAACTGCTGGTAATGACCCCATTCATTAATTAAATTAAAGTTGACTAAACAAGAATAGTTTCCAAATCATTATGTTCTTAGTGACAGTAAAAAGTGAATAAACTGTACAAATGTGCTTGAAAAAATGGATATATGTATGGTTTGTGTTAAGATCTGTAAATGCCCCCAATAAAATGATTAAACAAACAAACAAACAAACAAAAAGAACAAAGATGGTTGCTGAATGCTTCTTTTCATTTGAATTTTAATAATATGGAATAATTATAGAAGCAAAAATGAAAGAGCAGAGGATTCTGTTTTCTCTTTCAAATATTTTCATTTAACTGCTTCTAAAGTAATTTGGCATCTTAGGATGAGCACATATTTCTTTTAAAATGTCAGTTGTAACATTCAAATTCATCTTGAGATTATTTTGGATATTTCTAAGAGCTACACTGAACTATCCCTCTGTGTGATGCTGAGCCCAATGAGGAAATAAACAATGCCATGTGGCTTTCAAATTATAAACAGCACAAAAATAATTTTAATTTTCCGTAATTCCAATGAGTTTCTCATAAAAACTTGGCAAATGAAAAAAAATCCTGGACTTTCCTAGTATTACTCATGGAATAAATTTGAACAAATAAATACAAAATTAAACAATACTATCAAATTTTTCCCTTCTCCTAATCTACATATATAATCAGAGGACTCAATTCTGTCTCCCTTTGGTCGATGTTCACTTCCTCACATGCATGGTCATTGTTATTTAAAAGTTGGAACCGTATCCAAGAGGAAGCTTAATAATTCTGTTTATTTTCTAGGGTTTAAAGAAGCCTAGGCTGCCAGAGAAGATCTTTGAAGTGTGAAAAAGTTTCCTGTACTTCAGGCCAAAATGTCTTTTATAGATCCTTATCAGCACATTATAGTAAGTAATTTACCGTTTATGTATTTTATGGAGTAGGGACAGATACATTTCTGAGTATTTCTCCTCTAATAAAGTAGGACTGTATAACAGACCTGTGTATTCACTGTGTACAAAAAGACTATCATGCATAATGAAATTAAACGCTCCCTTCTTCTCAGCACTATAATTTTCCAGAAGACCTGGAGTGAAGGGAAGGGAGCTGTCCTTTCAGGGAGCAATACAAAATGTAGTTATCACATAGCAACATTGGCCTGCATATTTACCATACAGTCGACATGAATTGATGGAGAGAGGATAAATACAGTTCTGAGATTTAGGATATATTTTGGTACATTTTCCAAGAAATAATTAGTTCTGTAAGATTTCTCAATTTATTAAGATATACTTAAACTCCTCTGTGGGAGTTCAACTTTTGGTAAACAATTGAGGAGTTGAAAGTTTAATATGTAATTCCTTTGGAGATAAACACTTTCTTTTCTGATTTTATAGTGACACTTGAGGTTCAGTGATGGTTTATGCTGAGTAGAAATAAGTTTTATAGATTTTGAGGGATAATCTAACATCTCATTTTTACTTAAAATGCAACAGTATTCTCTTCAGTTACATTTCTCCTTAGCCACCAGCCTCTTTCTTGCCCTGCTTGTATAGCACTGTTTAATTGAATATTGGATAAGGACTTATCAAGGGTCCCTTTGATGCTAAATGTTTATATATATAAATATACTTAATTTGCCCCTTCTAGTCATTCTCCTGTTTTTTTAAAATATCTCATATTCTCTGGTTTTGTAATTTGGTTGCATGCAGTTAGTTCTATTTCAGTTTTCTCTATAAGCTTCTGTTTTTCTCTTTAAAAATTGAGATATAACATATATAAGGTGCATACATTTTAATAATTCAGCTGGATGGAATTTTGCATATGCATTCTACCGATAAAATTAGTACCTGAATAAAAAATCAGAATATTATAGGTGTCCAGGAAGGCTTGCTCATATCCTCTTAGTCAACACACCACTAAAAGGTAACCAATATTTGACCTTGAGAACTCTGGTGAAGTTTTGTGTGTTTTGGCCTTCATATGAGTGTCTGCTTTTAATATTGTTTCTGTTAGATTCAGTCATGCTGTGAGTAACAAAAGCCCCTACTTTTCCATTACCATGTTTCATTTAATTATCTGAATATATTACACATCCTTTATTTAATTCCTGCAGACCATTCTATCATCACTTAACGGTAACAGTTCCTTTGCTGTTAGATGGGTGACTACACGAGTGTGCCGTGATGTCTAGTCTGTGATGCTCCGCTACGAGTCTTTGTTTGTATTAGTAGCAAAGTCTTAAGTTTTGCAGCTTTAAAATGTGTCATTTTATGTGATGATGTAGATCCTCCAACATTTTTCTTTTCAAGTTTTAACTTGCATTTTTATATTAAGTTTATAATCAACTTATGAATTTTCACAGAAAACTAGAAGCAAACAGAAATTTTCTAGAATATTTTTACACTTTTATTGTTAATTGAGTGATCATTTACAGCGTAGATCAGGTTTTCATTCAATAATTCCTATACACGTTCGTTCATCTCATTGATTGCCATTCCCATAATGGAACATCCACTTCCTCCCCATGTTTCCGGTTGTCATCCCCCCTTCTTTCCTGACACTTCTGATTTGTCCTTGGGCGAATGTGCCATTTTGATTTTAAGGGCTGAGAATTCTTCTTACTGTCATTGTTTCCCTTATTTACCTCTCTGCTGTAATTGACACTTGAGCCTCAGAGGTAAGTTCATTTCCAGCCCTGAAGGCTGCCTTAGGAGCTTCCTTGGCGTTTCCCCAGTTTCAACCAGACCTGTAAATCTGGTCTTTTTTCACTTTTTAAAAATTTTGAGTTTTGTTTCACGTTCTCTCCCATTCTGTTCAGGACTTCTCATGTGATCTCTTTCATAGCAGCTGGTGGTGGTAGTTGTCTACCATCTAGTTCTGGCCCCAGGATCATGGGAGCTGACTTTGGGGTGGTGTATTAGTCCACTGGACTAATCGTTTCCACGTGTCTTCAAATTTTTCACTTTCTTTTGCTTCAGATAGAGTGAGATGAATAGTTGCCCCTAATATGGCTGCTCATAAGCTTTTAAAACCTCAGTTGTTACTCACCAATGTAGGATGCAAAATATTATCTATTTGCACTATGCTATGCAAATTGACCTTGATGTTCCCTGAGAATACAGCGAAGAGCCCTCAGACCCATCTTCTGGGTATTTGATTGGTAATGTAATGATTCTACAAATTAATTAGGGGAGACATGACAAGAAACAATCTTGAATTTTCTAATCCGTAAATAATCCATGAATCTAATCCAAATATAAATAATCATTTTTGGAATGATATATTACAGTTTCCAGTAAGAAATCTCATGTCTTTCTGAGATACACTTCTTCATATTTGATGTGTTAGTGTAATTGAAAAGATGCAAGTAAATCTCATTTTCCAATTAGTTTTTGCATTTATATGGAAGTACAATTGATTTTTTATATTGATCTTTTAGAGAGCATCTTAAGGAGCCTTGGTTGCACAGAGGTTAGAGTGGTAGGTTGCTAGCCCAAAGGTTGAGCAGTTTGAATTCACTAGCCACTTCACGGGAAAAAGATGTTGCAGGCTGATTCTGTAAAGATTTATAGCACAGGAATCCTATGCAGCACTTCAACTCTGTCCTAGAGAATGCCTTTGAGTAGGAATTGACTCGACATCAGTGGGTTTGGGTTATAATGGGGAACTTACTCAATTTCTGATAGTAACTTATTCAGAGTATTTTGAATTTTCAAGGTAGGATGGTGCAGAACTGTTAACGTGTTTCATTCTGTTGTGCGTGGAGTTGCCATGAGTGGGACCCAAGCTGACACCAGGCAACAGAGCCAGAACATTATCTGTAGGGCATCTTGATGTGGTGACTCTGGCCAAAACCACAGATCCATTTTATGTTTTTATTCAGCTTCCCCAGCTTCAGAGTTGGATCATTCAATTAGTACTGAAGTGAAACCAATACTATTAGTTTATATATATATATATTTTTTTTTTTTCTTCTTTCTGTGCATATGAAAGAAAATGTGTGTGTGTGTCTAAATTGCTATAGAAATAAAATCCCCAATTCTGGCTTTCATAGGAAGATATTTTTAAAAAATTATGTGGCGAATACTTAACAGAGAAAAATATTATTATAAAGGAAAGATGGGGAAGCCAGCTAACTAGTAATGACGGATTAGTGCCACATGGGCCAACAGTTTGGGCAGCCTCAAGGCATGGAAGATTGGACTCATTTTCACCACACCTGCAAAGCAGTTGCTTGTTGGAGATTTCTGTGGGCTGATTTAGCACTTTGCAGCCAGCACACTCACCTCCTGCTTCCGGTGGTTTGGCTTGTAAGAAGATTACCCAAATAAAGTGTAAATGTAAGATTTTAGTTCTGATTTTCTAGCATTGTTTTGAGGGATTGTCCAAACCATGACAATATTTGTGACCCCAGAATTTATTGAAGTTTTTTATAAAAGGGCGGGAGGGCAGATATCAACTTCAGAAGGAAAGCTGAAGTGTAAAATATTTACAAACACAACAACAGCAATTTAAGTCCGGAGCATGACATTATTACTCTGACCCTTAGTAATGTAAGGCATTTCCAGAGGGTGTCACCCGGTGGGGGAGCTGGTGCCAAGGGGGAATCAAATCCATGAACCTGTGCATTTGCTGATAATGTTTTTTAAATGGCAAAGAGGCTACAAGGGTAAGTAAAAAAGCATAGCTACTTAATCTTAGAAATATATTTAAAAATAGATATCAAAACGTGAAGCTATCTGATATCTAGCTTTATACATTTCTATTTTGAGTGCTTCCACCTCTATCACCTTCCCTTGAAGAATTGTGCACTCTTGGTTTTTACCCCACGTGAAAATGACAGTTTCACTATCCTGAAGGAACTCAAACAGCATCCCTTTGACATAGTCTTTGCATTTGGGGAGCAAAAGGAACTCAGGAATGGCAAAATCAGGGCTTTAGCATGGGTTGGGTAAGGTTTCCTAATGAAATTCATATAGGACAGCGCTTGTTGCCCTTGAACAATGAGCAATTACTCATTTGTAATTGGCAGGGGGTGGGGGGT